GAACATTTGATTGATATGTGGGGATTTAATTCCATTTCCCTTCGAGAATCTCTGCAGAAAAGCATTTCAAATTCCATTTCTAATGAGATGAAAATAAAAAATTCCAAAACCTACCAGATAGATAATGGGGAAAAACATCACACTGGGATAGGGATGTGCCATTTTATCCTAAGTACTGTTCATTTGCTGCTGTGCTATAGATGAAGAACTACATAATGCCTCTGTTAGTAAAGACTGCTTACACATGTATTACCTAAGGATATGCTCCTTCTGGCCATTTTTGAGAATCATATTTCTGAGAAGGTGAATAACGAGTGCCTAAACACAAATCCAGCAACCACCATGGGAAGTCCACTGTGTAGTCCAAACCCTGGAGGTTCCAAGGTCCCTGATGCAGAGGACAAGTTTCCCTCCCAGATAGGAATTACGTGTGTTAAACAGCTTTGTGCCAGTCCACAGAAGCATTGGCACAGCTAATTTGACTGGAGAAGACAAGAGCATGGTCATCAGACAAGAAAAGAGTCTGATGAACTCAAACGGAGATGACGAAACGGCACAGGAGATGAGAGCTGCCACGTAAGTGTGCCATGCACACATCCTATAGTTCAGCTCAAGATTTATCAAGCTGGGCTTCAAGCAGTGAGTCACAGGCAGAGGGGAGGGATATTTATGGAATTTCAGTTCTTCAGAGGAAAAAATATGAGAGTCAGAAATCACAGAGAAAAGAGAGTGCTGGATGATGGCAAACAACATATGGGAGACAGAGGAGAGGGAGCTGTTGGCATCATTGCTGCAGCGTTCGTCCCAGTGTAACTTGTCTTGATCTCTGGGGGCCAGTTCCTTTCTACTGAAAAAAAATCTGGCTTCTGGGACTCCAGGTACAAAACGAAAACCTCGCAATTTCTAGAGCACCAATGTTAGCATTTACCAAGTGTTTCCTCTTTCCTATTTTTCTCTGCAAATCTTTTACTTTGAGGGCTAGCACAAAACTTAGCAGAACAAGCAGTTTTCCAGCAGGCTTAATTCTGAAAGTTAAACTGATGAGATGATTTAAGATTTGACAGATAAAGTTAGCATTTGCTTATCCACTCTATAGGCTGAATTCTGCTGAGACTTTTTACGTAAAGGTCTGTATATATATATATATATATATATCTATCTATATCTGAGCATACACAGAAACACCGCAATTTTTCTGTTCTAAAGACAGAGGGAGGATATGTTAGGTTAGACATTTCTCTTAAGTAACTGCTGCTGATTCCGATTTCCAGATATGTTATTTTTTGCTGTCTGGAAACTAAAGGCTCTAGATTGGTGCTGATTTGTTCAAGAAGGAGCATGTTATTTTAGCCACCATTGTAGTTTTGTGTCCTTTCAGGCACAACACAAACCTAAGAATTTCTTTTGTTTCATATTCCCCCTCTGTCCTCAAGAAGCCTATGGAGGATTGAAGAGATTTGTGTGTTGCAGGAATAAATCAATGTGTAAATCATTACCTCTAATTTTCCTGAAAATACTTCTTCAGGATTGCTGCTTCAGCTGCCATTTCTTCTTCTGTCCTCCACTTGTCAGGGGAATCCTCTTTGTCGTGTCGCTGCAACTTTTATTGAGGGAGAAAGAAGGAAAAAGAAGTCTGTTATTTTTTTCCCCAGTTTTATTGTCAAATTCAGGGCATGCCTGTATGCAACCCATCTAACTGTTCCATGTGTCTGTGGGATGGAACGACCTGGTGATGAAGAGAAGAAGCGTGAAGGTTACCAGTTTAGAGTGGTGACAGTAGTTAACTGATTCTGATGGATGATTCTGATGATAACTCAAGGTGCCAGGATAAATGATAGGTAGTGACAGAGTTCACCTTTGTGAGTTGATGGTGAGATACCTTGTGAGTCTTGGATGCAAAGCTGGTAGGTAGGGTAATAGGAAAACAAACACACTTGGGTATTCTGAAGTGCCCATTACATAAGTGGAGTGAGCGAGGCAGGAGCTGCCTGGACACCTTGTCAGAAATCTATTTTAAATCTTCTCTCTAGCTTTTCCCTCTGCCCATGGGGCCACCTTTCCCATCAAAGACCTGTTGTGATAACAAGGCCCTGTTGCAGCTGTTTCCCACTGGCAGCTCATATCAGTAGTTTTCAGAAGAGATACATTCCCTCCCTGCCTGCAAGTTATTAGTCCTTCCTTGCCCTTGCTGAAAGTGAGACACATCCCTGGTCTAGAAACAAAACCTGTTATTTTACGCATAACGATGATTTAATGCAGGAAAAGATAAGAAGTATGTGAAAAATATAATTTTTGCATCTAGCTTGCATAATACACTCACAAAAGTAAGTTAAGTTCTATCTCACATACAGTAAGCATTAACTGATATTATCCCAGACATCATGATTTCAAATACATCCTTTGCCCTTCCAGAAGAAGGTAGAAGCTGGTGGGTTTGCTGACCTCCAGAAGAAAGGAGTTCTATTTTATGTCAAATATAACACACCAGCACTTGAATGACTATTTGTATACATGTCCATCCAAAGGCTGCCTGACACTCATCATCAAGGGAATTTACAACATACAGCAGAAACATTTGCATTAATGGCTTAAGTACTGAGATTTCCAGTGTGTCTCTGGGTACAGAGCACAGATTGTATTAACAGCATCAGTGCTTCCGGGGAACATTATAATATCGACTTTTTGTTGATGTCACAAAGTTGGAAACTAATGAATTTACACCTGGACAAATTTTAGTACAGAAGATAAAGCAGTGAAAAAAACAAAGATGAAGCAGTACTCAACCTGCCAAACACACTTCATCACTGTCTATGGCATGTTTAGCAATAAACTAGGATTGTTAGCATACATCCAACTCACAAATACTTTTATTTGTGCTGCATTTCTTCTACTCCGAATTTTGCTGCCAGCTATAGTCCTATGTAGTTTTACATTCTGCAGCACAGATTTCTCCCTGCTCAGCAGATGAACTGCATTAGAAAGCTATTTCCTTTCATGCCAATACGATACAGTAGCTGTAGGCAAATTAGAGTGTATTACTGTTTGACTAGCAGAGGACTAATCTTCATTGTTACATTAGCTCTAGGTGTGTTATAAATCCACCTTGTAATAATGCTACAGAATTAGAAAGGAAGATTTAGAAGCCAGGAACTGGTTCAGTGTATACACTGTCAACACACACCCTTTGTGTCCACGTGCACAGCGTCACCCGCGGTATCACCTATACAGTGTATAGGTACCACAGCTGAGCTGGCAATGAGAGGGAGTTATAGGAAAGAACATACATCATCCTGTACTTTCCATGGACTGTAAGCACTTACGCTTCACAAGAGGATGCAACCAGGCCAAGCCAAGTGGTGGTAAATCAATTGTCTGTCTGAGGTGTGAGCTGTTTCTCTAAAAAAGCAATATCTTGCTCATTCGACCTAGCATCAGCAGGAGATACAGCAGACAACAGCTAGAAGGCAAGGGAGGGCAGCCCTTGTTCCCCAAGGTCGCCTTATTTAACGTGCAAGAAGTGCTTTTAGTGACGTGATTTGGCTGCTGTTCTCCCTTGCTATCCTGTTTCTGTGCAACCCAAGTGAGAGCTGGCTCCAGGATGAGACTAGTAAAGTGCAGGTTTGACTTGTACTTTTATTTTCATTTTCCCTGATCAAAGAAACTGAAGTGAACAGTAATAAGAAGGCATATCCTGAAAAGGCTGTTCTTGTTGTCTAAATTAAAACTGTGTGAAGTCACAGACCATGGTGACTTCTCAAAGCCAGCAAAGGAGAAGGTTTCCTTTGCTACATAACTGTTAACCTTTAAAAATAATCAATCTTTGACTTAAGGTTAAAACAGATATATGGGGAGCAGCAATGAATTCTGAAACTTGCCAAGAAACGCAACATACTTCAGCAGCCCTGGCTCTTAGTACACAGCCTGCAGTACCAACACAGCAAGCACCAGCCTGTCATGAAGTGCTTAACACAGCGTTACCATTCTCTGCTGTTCACAAACCTCTCAACTGAAAAGATGTATCCGCATTTCTTGGTATCTGTCTGGACAGCAATTCCTCCTGCAGGACATGGCAGAGGGGCTGAGAGGGGAGTCTGCCTACACACAGCCCTGCATTGCCACGGACTAGAGAAAATACTAGTGTATGAAACCTTTTCTGTAGAGCTCAGAGATAGTTATTTTAAAACTGCTGGTACTTGGCCTGTTTTCATCAGAGACAAGATATTCTACTGCAAAACTCAGGAAGCCTCAAATTCTCTGAGGCCAAACCCTCCATTGTATTACAGCAGTGTCTCGAAAGCACAAGCATTAACAAAAAGGTAAGCAACCAGATAAGCATAGTTCAGATTGCTCTGAAAGGAGTGGATGAGATGAGAGAGTATGAACATTTCTTTGAGACAATCCCTATTAATCTTTTTCTTTTAATATTCTGAACAAGCACCAAGACACACATTTGTCAATTGTCTAATTGCAGCTGCCCAGCAAATTACACACTGTATCTGCTCCACATTCAAGCACCGAGACTCTTGTTTATAACTTAGTACATCATCTTGCCTTGCAGTACAAATAAATGCACTATTTCTAAGATATGCCCTTCTTCAAGCAGATCATTACTGATGTCTGACTTCTTGGGCTTCCTGATAAATTATCCTCTTCTTTCACCTCAAGCAGAAAATGTTCTTCCACCAATAATCTATGACTGTCAGTCTTGATTACTTGTAAACAGCGGAGCTCTTTGAATATTTCTGCTTGTGAAAAGTGTTCATTTTCTCACTCCTGTCTCCCAGTGTGAGATGCTGGCAGACCTGACAGCTGTGCTTTATGTTATTGTATTAAAGTTGTTAGTGCTGCAGAATGGTCTACGTTTTTATCCCTGCAATTCTTAAGGGAAACACAATATTGTTTTATAACACATTCACATTGGGGAACCTCTCCTTCTTGCCCTTTGCGGAGGAGCCCAAAATTCTCAATGCAACAGATTATAGGGGATCTGGGTCTATGACTGCCTGTTGTTTGAAGTAACATCTATATTATGGTTTGCTCTACTGATGCAATAATACCAGCAGAAAAACAACCTGGTTAAATATAGAGCTCTAGCCAAAAGTATTGGGAAAAAAGCTTTTATGATATTCAGCACTATTCTCACTCCCCATGAATATTTACTGTTGATAGTTAGGAGTTTATAACCTCCAATGTGTTTAACTGAAAGAAGAAAATATAGTGATGGAGAGTAATTACACCAAACTGCAGCAACACAACAAAACTCAGTTGCTTCAGCAATTATAAAATATAGTCTTATGAAAACCAGCAGCTAACAAAACCCCCATGAATTTCTGCTAGCAGTTTGGATCAGGCATTAGGCATTACCCAGCTGCTGGTGTCCATTATTATCAATACACCTTGGAATACCCAAGCATCTTTTCCATGCTTAATTCCCACACTTCATTGAAATCTACAGAGTGATATTTCAGCATCAGATTAACATGTAAACCATGAGGAGGCTGCAGGTCTCATCTGCTCTCTCCAGTGGCAACCCTTTTTTCCAGAGACTGGAGATGAAAATAAGCTCAGGCTGATACTCCTACCTCTTCCTCTTCCTTTGCCCTCCTCCCCCTGGTCTTGTTCTCCTTGCTCTTTCCTCCTACCCTGTGATATCTTGCCTTTCACTTGTCTTTATATTTAGCATATATCCTCATAGTAAGACTTCATTTCTACCCCCTCTTTCCCCCATAACATAATTAAATGTGACATTTACTGCTATTGTCAGTACCTCCTGCTATGCTCTATCCTCCCCTCACCCTCTGCTGTCTTGCTGAAGGGAGTGTGAGTTTTTTGGTGGGCAGCCTCCTCTGCCAACTCCGCGCCTCCTGTCTCCATCTCATTTGCCTTCAGTTGTGGCTTAAGTCTTCACTTACTTAACCAGCAGTGTAAGATGAAAGAATAATGGATGAAGCACAATGGTTTCACAAAGCAGTTTCTCAGGGATGCTGCAATCACATGGTCCTAAATTCAGTTTTACCTGCCTAGGGGTAATCATTGCAGGAGCTCTCAGCCCTCGGACTCCCCAAGAAAAGGCAAAAAACCAGGCAGAGAACAACTGTGGCATGTTCCCCCTTGACCACCTAAGAGACCACCTGCAAGTTATTGTGAGATATGGTGCAAGAGACCTGTTTCTAAGCCCCTATTACCATTTTCCCTACTCCACAGCCCAAGCAGATCAGTTAGTTCAGTGCTTCCCACATCCCTGGGCCTGTCTCTATATTTAACTACAGCTGTAAGGCTGCTGTAATTTAATTGCTCTAATTTACAGTGAACACTGCAGAAAAAACCCACATCCTATAATTTTCTCATCTGCTGACTTTGCTTAAGATTCTGTATCATACCAATATCTGCATGAATCGGAAATCCCTGATTTTGGTGTGGCTTTTTACTTGCTGTATTAAGTTTGAGTTATTTAAGGAGATGAAGCAGCAGTTCCCTGCATTCTATGAGACACCATTTTTTAACTCTCTACTGGAAAACCATTCTCCAAATGTTTCAGCACTTCTACATGAAATAAGCTGCTACCTCCCAGCTGCTGCTATTGCTGCAAAGCATATATCC